ATCACATATTTAAAAACTCCTTTAAGTTTAAAAGACTTATATCTCCATACCAAACCACCTGTCTACATATTCTTATATGGAAGAAAAATAACCCTCTGGTTAGAGGATTAATTTGGGAAATCTGCAGTCAAGATTTCTTGTCTAGCCATGATTTCTTTTTTTTTTTTTTTTGTATGGTCCAGGATAAGGCCATGGGAAGTGATGACAGTGGCCACGGAGAGCCCTGATCTTGCCTCACTGGCTTAAAGCTTTGTGGATCTCTCTTGTAGACTCCCTACCTCAATTCCCCATATTACAAGAATAAAAGAAACTCTGTATCACCAAGAGTTTGGGTCAGAAAGCAGGGAAACAGTCTGTGGGATAATGCCCATCTAAGAATTTCAAATAAAGTATTTGTTACTGTGCCTGCTAATTAAAGGGATAAGTGTCACTGCAGCAGTTTATTCTGTGATCAAGCCCTGTGTCTGCCTGAAGTCCCACCAGCTTCAGTCAAAGTCTACAGCTGTTTAACCATCCCTGGATGCTCTGGGCGGATCTGGCACAGGGGGGAACCAAGCACCCACTGCCAACCCCTTGTCAGCCCTTGGGAAAATTTCCTGTTGTGCCTGTTATATGAAGCTAAATCCCATGAAAAATGCAAAGTGTTCAGACACTGACTGCACTGAGGAGGGCTGGATGACAGACAGTTGGGAAAGTTAGGCCTTTATTTATTTCTTATTTCAAGAATGCCTCTATCCTTTCTTCCTTGGAAGAAACACATAAGGTCATAAAGGCTTGATCATGCAATCAGCAGTGATTGAATAACCATAAGTTACTGACTGACACTTGAACTGTACCAATTAATCAAAAGCATCAACTGCATCAACTGTGAAATAAAAATACATTTTGTAACCCGCCCTTAAACACCCTCACAGTTTACTTTGCAACTGGGGCACATTAAAAGCATTATTAGTAACTGCAACCTGTTTTATAGATTTTAACCTTTTTTGTAACACCAGCTCAATATTGTTTCCTGAAAAGAAAGCAGTAATTTACTGAAACAAAAAACCTTTAGTGTGAATTCTCTTTGCATAACATTAGAAGCTGCCAAGTATTAAACATGTGTAAAATAAATGTTTTCTTACCTATAAAAAGAAGTTTAAATAATTTTCAATAATTTATTTTTCCCTTTTTACTTTGTGCATGTACTACCTATTAAAATCTATATTTAAAGAAAAGTTCACCCCATCTTCCCTGTTCACAAGTTTGTTTTACTATCTGAATGCTATTTGAACATGGCACTTTTCCCATATATTTCTTGTTAAGATTGCACTATTTGTTTTTGACACCCAAAGCAAATTGCTGATTTACCCTATATATACCTAAAGTAAATTAGACAGAAGTTTCCAGCTTGCATAAAAAAGAGTAGTTTCATAACATTTTCTTTCTAATACACAGTCATTATTAATTTTTATAACACCAGCTGAAAGAAAGCTTGGAATTCTAAGAACTCCAGTTTCCATGAGACTTAGGGTGAGCTGCTCGAGTCATGCATGTCAGATTTCCTGCTCCTATCACCATGCCCTCCTACCTTTATCAGGTTGCTTATCTGAGATATTCCTAATGAAAGAATGGGAATTTTCGGTGTGAGTGTGAATCTTGTAACCATGACAATACTTCTCACCCTGAACTCTGTTAACAAATAAATGGTAACGGAAAAGCTATGAAATATATTCTTAAGAGCAGACTATGAATGTCTGGGTAAGCTTTCTTTTGAAGAAATCCATTGTATTTCTGCCTGTTCTAACTAATGAATAGTCTTTTATAGAATCAATAATGTAAAAGAGTTGAGATCAGTCCTACCCCTTGATACCCTTTCCCAATTAAGGCAGTGGATCATTCTGTTAATAACATTATTTAGTGACTATTCAGCATTTTCACTCTGGTGAGATGCTGTGCAAATATTAATTAATCCCCACTAAAGCCCTGAAAGCTCACTAGGAAATATTAAACCCATTCTACAAAAAAGGGCCTGGAGGCAGAGATTTCTCAGTACCAAAGAGATAGTAACTTGAAGCTCCCTGGGACAGCGAGAGTCTAGAATAATGAATGGCCCTGCAGTGAGAGCTACCTTAAAGAATATCATCTCTTCTCTGCCTTTACTTGGGGCAATTACTTTTTCTCAAGGAAAGCCCTTTCTGTGTGTTTTGCTTTTTTTCAGGAATGAATGTCTCTAAGCAGTCCTTCAGCCTGAGGCTGTTAATACAAAGTAATTACACAGTCATTGAGGTATATATATAGAGTGTGCCCAATAGCCCAGTGATTAGAGTATCAACACAGATTCAGATTTCTCTCCATTGAATATTTAACTTTATACATGTGCAATAGCAAGAAGAAATGGAGACAGAGAAAAGTGTAATAGCTCGTACCTTTTTCACTAATGTTATATTCAGTTCATGGATTTGAACTCAAATCTTCAAGTAACAGAGCACAACACTGGAGCACAGACAGATGTGTCCCAGCTGTTTGTAGAGGTGTTCATCACTAGCACAGTTGTAACTGCAGAGCTTGCCTACACTGAAATTAAATGATTATCCCAAAACTTTTACAAAATTTTCCCAATTTTCATCTTCCATAGTATGCTCCTCCTTGTTTTAGAGTGATTCTCTCTAAAAGAAAATGGGACATCATTTTTTTTTTTTACATTACTGATGGCATCCAGGCCACCTATTTTGGCCATCTACAGTTTGGCAGCTGAGTCAGGAGGACAGGATTTCCTTCTGAGGATAATAAATCCATGTACTTCTCCCCATTCATATGTACTCTACAAAGCCACGTACTTCTCCCCCAGCAATATTTGTTATTTAGTTTCAGAGGACTCCAATAGGGACCAAAAATTCAGGAGCAAGGACAGATCTTTCCTTGCTTTTGGATTTTTTTTTTTTCCCAGTTCTCTGGCCATAAATAGCTGAAGTTTTTGAAAGCAGTTTAGTTTCTTGGTAGTCTGGTTGCAATTTTATTCTTGTTTTTTACTTTCTTGTTCCTCATTCCTGTTGACTTATCCCCAGTCATCTTCCTAATCAGGATGCTGGATGATTGATCAGTTTAGCACATATCTTTGATTGCCTGTTTCATACGAGAGTACTTACTCCTGTAGGCACCTGACATTTAATACTATTGACTTATACATCATTTACTCTGCCTTCCAAAATTCTGCGGTTCTTTCTCAACCAAATGGGAAGGAGAATTTTGACATACTTCTAGGGCATGATTCATCTCACCCTACATTAGGCTTCTAAAGTAGGACAAATCTGCTATGTCCTAGAAAAATCTATCACTCATCGACTCTAAAGGAAGACCAGATACATATAGTTTAGACATCTACATCTGAATTATTTTCCAACAGTTAGATGAGAATAATTCTATCCTGGGACACCTGAATTCCTTCCTGTGTGCTGCCAAAAGCGGAAGAAGGGCAAAAACCCCCAAATATCCAAGAAGGCCGAGAGATGTCCTCATTTGTACAATCACAGAATCATGTAATGGTTTGGGTTAGAAGGGACCTTAAAGCTCATCCAGTTCCAATCCCCTGCCATAGACAGGGACACCTTCCACTAGACCAGGTTGCTCAAAGCCCCACGCCTCCTGGCCTTGAACACTTCCAGGGATGGGGCACCCACTGCTTCTCTGGGCAGCCTGTGCCAGCGCCTTAACACCTTCATAGTAAAGATTTTTTTTCTAATATCTAATCAAAATCTACCCTCTTTCAGTTTAATTAATTTTTCATTTCAGCTTAATTTGATCTTATTCCATGACCCTGCCATAGGATTCATTTGTGAGATTTTTAGGGAGCTTCATGTTTAAACCTTATCTTCCTTCTTACACTATTTTAATTAAGGCAGAAACTGCCTGAAGGTTCTTCAGTCTCTTCCTTAACACATCCTTCTGTCCGATCTCTGGATCTTATTCCTTAGCCTTTTTTCACTTGTTTTTGAATATTAAGTGAAGAAACAGTATCTGATACAGGTGTTTTTGCACTGAATATTCATGGAACTCCCTGATTTGAGTGTAACTGAGTGACAACACTACTTGTTTTAGAATATCCTGTTCTAGGAGATTATGTAGACCTGACACTTCCTGCCTGAATTTATTCTACTTGTTGGCTTTTTTTTTCTTAAAATATCAACTATGATTAATCTTCCTATCAATACACACCAATAAGGTCAGGGCAAGATTTTATAATGTGCTTGTCAAATATAAAAATATCATAATAACACAAAATAAACTGTTGAGATGTATTAACAGAAGCATATGTATGAAAGGAGAAAAATTACTGTTACACGAACTTTTGAAATATAAGTATGTTCGTGTTGAGTAAAGGGAGATTTAACTAGCAAACACATGGAAAACTACTTTCAATATTTCTCATGCAAAAATAACCACATGAAATAGTTGCATATAAATCAATATATGCAATGGATGATGATTTCACATAAACCAGAAACTCCATTTTGCACAATCTAAAAGGTATAAACCTAGCTACACTAAAGCCAGTGGGTCTTTTTTCTGCTAGCTTTGTGAGACAGAGTTATAAAGATTTCATTCACGGGCTCTATGAGTTTCTGCCTTCTTCTTACTTCTGTTATTTTTTAAAAGTAAAAGGTAACATTAAAAACTCTCTCTGCAATTATTATGTTCTTTAAGGGGTAAGGCAGGAAGAACAAGACAGAAGAAGGGAAGTTGCTAATTTCCTTGAACGCCTTCTTTTGAATTACTGGTCACCTGGATGTTACCCAAATTTGATGCTTTTCTGCTTTTGATTCTCTACCCTTACATAGCAGGTAAGAAATTCCCAGATGGGTTGAACTGAGAGTTTTTGGCCACTCTCATTAACACTGCCTCTCATTAATGCTGTGGGCTTTGTGGCTGGAGAAAAGCTGTACAACAGAGCAGCCTCCTGCCTCCACACCCCTCCTCTGGATGGACAAGCAGTAAAGTTATCTGAGAGATGGTGTCTGTACCTAGCTCCTCCTCTGGCGTCCCTGGAAAACTGAAGCTCGACTTGAGCAGATCGCCACCCTCTTCTTCTGAAAAGACAGAAACAAAGTAGCTATTAAATAACTCTGATATTTTTGTATATCCAGTTATAAACTCTCCAGTATTTTTTAAATCCAGTTAATGATACCTATTACCGTTTGGTTTTGATGCCGTGAAGGTGTTGAGGTGCTACCTGCAGTATCTATTCCTCTTTGCCAGTTTTCTAGCACTCTTCTATTTTTTTTTTTTTTTTATTTTGCCAGATGTTTTCGAATCACTAGTGTTATAATATTCATAAATGCCTGTTTTATAACATCTCTTAGATTGTTCTTTTCAGCTTACCTTAGTCACATTGAATTCTACTGCCATTTAGCATTAATGTATTTCTTACAGGAAGAATCATTATTGTCAGTCTTCTAGTTGTACCTATAGCTCTTTCCACCTCTAATGAAAATAATGCCACTTGTGATTCTCAGGCCACTCTTAATTCTGTAATTGTGAACTCTGATAATGCTTTCCTGGTGACTTTCTCCTATCAACAAAATTTATTTTTGTGCCAAAGACAACTTCTGCAATTCTGGACAAATATTCAAGCTCAGATAATATGTCTATGTTGTATGACTGCAGCGAGTTGCTCAGAAATCTACATTGCTTGAGTGCAGCTATTTGCTACTGTGCCTATACTGCTTTCAGAACTGCAACTTGTCACCTCTGCATTGCGCTCTTGTGCTGGCACACTAATTAATTTGGACCTGGCACCTAGCTCAGATATTTCTAACATGGAGCTGTATATAGAAAACTGGGTCAGTAACACTGCCTTAAGGTACAAGATTGGGTTGAGAATACACAGATTAGATAGGATACAAAATATCACAGTAAACTATTCCATGTAAGTACATTATAACTATCTTTAAATATTTTAAAAAACATTTTTGCCTTATTATCAATATTTTTTGGTGGAAAAAGTGGAAGCTGAGTATATACAGCTTTCCACTGTGTCCTTTCTTGCCATCTATGTGTGCTGCAAGCATAGACACCTCAAAAGAACAGTGAAAGAGCAGAATACTCCGTAGCCTCTCACTGTGTGTTCAACCAGCAATTCTTCAGAGAAAGACAACATCAGGTACTGCAGACCATGTTTCTGTAGTGCACAACAGAAGACTGATGACTCCTAAAGAGCTCACATCAGTTCATATTCCTCATATCCCCACGCAGTTTGAACCAACTCAAGACTTTCCTTAAGAGCACCTCAATCCCTGTATCAGGCAAGCTGTTTTTTGTGATTCAGTTCACAACAGACATGCTGTTTTGCCTGTTTCAATGCTCCATTTAACAAATATATGCATTTTGTGTATTTCCTTGTCTTGGTTGCCCTTTTTATTTGATAGCACATTCATATGATTTTTTCCCAATTATCTCACAGTAAGAAAAAATGAGTGAATATACTCATGTAGATATTTTCAAATAATTGATCCTGGGCTTGAAAATTCATGATGTTAAGAATATACAAGTGATAACAATGGGTAGATACTGCATAAAAAATAAGTCCCGAGAATATTAAGAATGTTGAATAAGTTGAGCTGTCAAATAAACATCTTGTTTATAAACTCAATTGTTAAATAAACTCTCTGCTAAAATACAGCCTACATAAGATCTCATTAAGCGACGGATAAAAAGTCAGACACAATTTTAAAAATGATTGGTGCATGAATTTAAATAAATTTCATTTGGAGAAGCAATGGACAACTCTAATTAAATAAAAGTACAAATAAGGCAGTTTCCATGGAGATTTTTCTCACATGATTTGCCTATATTGTGTAACTCATATGCCTGTCCTCTAATTTGGTGTTCAGGAGTATGGAATCAAATGAGAGTTATAACAAAAATATTTGTAAGATTCCTTCACATTAATGTAAGTAGGTAGAAGATCTTACTGTTAACTTCATCATAAAGAATCTTTACACTGGAACAGTAGTTTTGCATTTCTGAAAAGGAAGGTATTAGTTTATTCCAAGGTTATATCATGTATATAAATTCAGAAACCCTAATAGAATGATCCAAAGAAAATAAAATGTGGAACATTATTTCTCCCTGGCAAGAAGTTGGCATTATTCTCACAAGCTTTGGCTAAAACTAGACTATTTTTAGACTAAACATTTATGGATTTGGTGCGTTTGAAAAAAAATAAAAAAAATTTCCTTTTCAAAATGAAAGTGAAAGGTCATGCAATGGGGTCCCTAAGTCAGATTTTGACTTTATTGTAAGAATTCCTGTGCAAATTTGGACAGTTCTGTAAATCTTTTTCTGCCTCTGTTATCCATAGAATTAAGATTAGAATTCATTTCTTTCTGGTAGAAATAAATGAATACATGAATACATTTGTTAGTGTCAGTGAGCCTGTTGTCTAGAAGAGCCTATAGAGAGCACAAAAAAGTTAGAATTTCCATCCTGCAAAAGCTATATTCTATTTTGAATAGAGTCAATTGCAAATCTTTCAAAGGAACTTAGAATTCCTTTGTGATTCCCTTAGGTTTGTGAATCTGCATGAAGGATGAGTAGTTCTTTCTTAGTGATTAGCTTACTTCCTACGCATAAGTACTTCTTATTTCTTTATATTTTATGACTTCATCTATTCACATCACTAATTCATTGTTTAGACTGTCTTTTCAGAAGGCTACTGTCAGGTCCTTCAGCCCTTGAAGAGATTCAATTTTTGTATTCTGCACTTATGAAGCATAAATTAATCTGAAGTCTCAGTGGCTCTTCAGTATTACAAAGATATCTTTGTGTGAGGTCAAACTGTACTTCAAATTCTGCGGCAGACATACATGGTCTGTTTATTCAGTTTACCATTTTCCCAGAAATTACTGTTTTTATTATTGGCCATAAAAATGAAAAGCATATGTCTCATTCATGAATACAAGAGGAACTTTCATATCTCATGGTAATGAAGTCAGTCAGATTATCACAGAATTCTCATGCATGCTGAAATTCAAGTGCCACAAAATGTGTGCATTAATTTTATGTCATTCACCTCCTCTGTCTCCTAGAGCTATAGTATTTTAGCTTGCTCTTTGCCTACTGATAGAATGTTCTACAACAGCAGGCATAGAGGAAAATGGTAGTCTTAGCATGGAATGTTTCAATGGGCAATGAACTGCAGACAAAAATGAGATTATGAAAATAGGATGATTTAAAATTTAAGGTTTTAATGTACAGAACACACAGACCACAGGCAAAGGACACAATTACTAGTTAAAATCCTTTCTCAACATACAAACTACTACATCATAGACTGGTCTAAAAAGAAAGTAAAAACCTGCCTTGGAAACTGAAACTAAACAATAGTGGGAGAAATCTTCACGCTCAGTAGGACTCAAAATAGTGACAAAATATAACAGGCTTAGAAGTGCAAAGATGTCTGCTTCTGTGAAAGCTGAATGTATAGTAAAATGATGCTGTGATCTGCATAAATAGGAGAGCACAAACTTTCATTTACATGCAATATCTCATTTTCTTTTTTCAAAAATGGATCTGTCATGTATTCCAGTGCAACATGCAACACTGCACAAGAGACACTCAAGACTGTGATAGGAACCTTTCACAGCTGAAGTTCTCCAGAATTAAGCTTGGAAATGTCAGTAGACATTGCTTAGCTGGAACCAGATTAAGAGATCCAGACGGCTCATTCAGTCCTGAGGCTATGACAAGTACAGTGGGAAATGATATGGGCCAGTGCCCAAGATCGAGCTGGCAGGGCACAGCTTTTGTCCTCACAACAGCTGGATGTGTCAGGAGTGGGCCCCAGCTTCTGCTGTTTCTTACCCTGCTAAGGAGACATTTCCTAGGGAAGCTCTGGTTGGCTTGGACCTCATCTGGCCAAGGGCCTGAGCTGTGGTAGGGATGACTGCTGCCATTGCTCAGGCGTGTGATGTGTTCCTGATGAGTTACAAGCACAGAGGGAGCCTGAGCTTCTTCTACTCAGGTTTCCATCTCTAGAGAAGAGGTTACAGTCCAACATAATGAAACTGCTGAAGGCCACAATATTACAGCTGTGTGACACTTGCTTAAAGGAGGTGCAGCCAATCCCTTGAGGGTCAATTCTGAATCGTGCCTCAGCTGCACTTGGTACTGGATTGCAGGTCAGTAGGATGTTACTTTGTGTTCTGGGTCAGAGAAGTGAAGTTTCTATACTAGCTAACGGACACACAGTCTCCTCTATCCTGTTCCTGTCTGCCTATGGTCTCAGGGAACATTTTGACAGTCACTGCACAGAAGCCATCTGATATTGCTGTTTTTCCTCAGTTTAATGATGACTTTACCCATCTTTCAAATTTTATCATCTCACTCTTTACCACTCAATCTACTCTCTGAGACTGAGATACCAGTTTTAAATTCTCTTTCTTCACCTTCAAAGTCTTGCACCAAGATATGTTTCTGTGTTGGCGCTCACTTTTTATTCAATCATTCTATCATTCTGCTCTTAATAACCAGACATGCTGTTTCCATCTCCTAACCATACTTCTCCCATAACCTAGCCATCCACAAAATGGGCCCCAGTCTCAGTGGAGTTTTTGCTCACATACTTTAAAAGACTCACATCAGCAAGACTTACAATCAATTAACTACCTTCTCCATCACAATACAAGAGTAAGACTGAACTGCAACTGATATTGAACTTCTCAGTTCATTGGATTTTAATTTATTTATTATATGGCCTTCTCTAGACTTCCCACTGATTTTTTTTCACTGTGTGTGCTTTTCTTTCAGCCTATAAGCTCCCTATGGTAGCTGTTGTTCTTTTCACTCTCTCTTGTATAGCACCTGGCATATTAACTCTGACGACAGATGAAAGAAAACATAGGCCCTAAAATGTCTGGATTAGACAGCAGTTGTGACTTCATTTGATCACTTGATTACAGAGTATAAAATGTGTCCAGAGTACGAATACAGGACTCTCACCAGATCACTACGTCATCTGAGAAAACCGAATCGCTTCCTCCAGACCAGAGATACTCAACGATCTAGAAGAGATATCTCCTGCATCTCA